AACCTCTCCCCAATAATCTCCTTCCAGTACCTCCAGGCTCTAATCACAATATTCTCAGTAACTAAGGTTTGATCTTAAATTTGTCTAAAGCTGCCTAGAGAGATGTTCTGATTACCAGCTGAGCCTCAGATACAAACGATTTGAGGATTTCTCCTGCTTTCTGGGGAAATCTGTCAGCAAGTTTCAAGATTTGATGCTAGTTCAGGTCATTTGGCCATGTGACAAAGATTTCTAATTCATTACTTCTGTTCACAGGCTTCCACAGGAAAGTAAAGTTTTCTACAGGGCAAATCCGGATGGCTTATTTTCCAACATGTCAGTCTTCATATATTTTCTTGGATTCTGCAACCACTAGCAAGGTAGGAAGAGAAAAGCAGATGGACAGTTTACTCGAGGAGACGGCATTTAGTATCATGTAGCTGTCACGTTACAGATTGACACTAGTTTAGTAATTCATCATCCAACAAGGTTTCTTTTATAACCAGCAGTGGGAAATCAGGTTTGTAGATATGAAATACACCTACAAAATATACATAAAAATTAACCTGCATTTTTTATGTCCCCCAAACTTCAAAGCAATTCAGTCAAAAACTGGAAAAATCTTGAATACTCACTTTTCTAAATAACGGTGACCCTAGATGAAAGGAAAGTGTTTTAAAAAACAATTAGCATAACCTAACCTTCCATGAGAGAATACTATTACTTCTGTATTTTACACTTTGAAGCTCATTAGCATTTTGAATTAGAACCTGCAAAGAGAGAAGTCTCTTGAGAAAATAAAAGATGGTTATCAGTAAAAGTCAGTAACTGCCAAGGAAGTTGGGAGACTAAGCAGTTAATCGGCAAGTATAATTTATCAGGAAAAGAGGCAAGAGCCAATTGGAAGCAATGTACTTACTCCCCAAACTGATAGATGTCACCCGGTCTAACTTTAGCCTGTTTGTGACCATCATGTCTTGAATACAGCTTCCAAAAGAAACATCTTACTGGGATGCATCACAAACTGCATCATAATCAATGATTATGACATTTTTCCTACTGCAGCAACAGTGGTATAGCAACAGAAAGTCCAGTCTGAAAAAGATAAACTGCTGACAAATACCAATCACTTCAGGAGAGTAAAAGAGTTGCAGAAAGATTAGGAATGGATGTCAGGAAAATAGGTTTAATCAAGAAAATTATTTAGTACTCAACACTGGTTTACAACCAATATTATGTTGTTTGGTAACCAAACATATCATACTATTATATCACTCAAATATATTAAACAATTTAATATTCAACACTAACTGCAGTATTATCTCATCATATCATCAATGGTCAAATACTGTGAGCTCCAAAAACAGACAACAGACAACTTATTTGGTGGGGTTTTGGTAGTGGGGAGGGGCTGCAGGGATAGACCCTCTAAGAAGCTGCTGGAAGCTTCTCCAGCTCATAGCTGGACCCATGCCTGGCCAGCATCAAGCCAGTCAGTACCTCGATGAACAACCATTTTTAAGAAGTGAACAAAGAAACCCCCACTGTGCGTGACCTACAGTGAAGAGAGGGGGGAGGCAGGGGACTGGCCCCCGGCCTCCCAGGCAGGCACTGGCCCACAGTCACTCGACTAGAGATGGCCACAGCAGCGTGGCTTGAAGCACTCTGAAGCGCTCCACTCCTGGGGTGCCTGCTGGGTGGAGTTCATCCTGCTGGGACTGCCCAGGGTCATCAGGCCCAGCAGAGAGAGGACTGAGATCTGAGAAAAGCAACTCTGCAGACGCCAAGGTCAGTGAAAATGGAGCAGGAGGAGGTGCACCAGAGCTGAGGTTCCCCTGCAGCCAGTGGTGAGACAGCAGGCAGCCTGCAGCAGACCCCAGGCCAAAGTGGGTGGCTGCACCTAAACAAGTTTGTAGAGAACTGTCTCCTGTGGGAAAGGACTCCACACTACTGGAGATTAATGGTGGAGCAGAGATGCACCTGTAGTCTGTGGAAGACTCCATGCTAGGCAAGGTGGCTGTGCCCTAAGCAGCAGTGACTCCATGGGAAAAGCTCATGCTGGAGCAATTCGACGGGTAAGGATTGCATCCTGCAGGAAGGACTCACATCAGAGAAGTTCATGGAGGACTGTCTCCCATCAGGACGGACTCCACATTGGAGCAGGGAAGAGAGTAATGAGTCCTCTCCCTTTAAGGAAGGAGCAGCAGAAACCGTATGTACTGACCTGCAACCCCCCCATCCCATGTGGCACTAGGGGGCAGAGGTAGAGCTGGGAAGAAGGGAGGGGTGAGGGGAAGGTGTTTTTAAGATCTGGCTTTCTCTCTTTATTATCCTCTCTGAATGTGACTAGTAACAAATTAAACTGATTTGTCTCCAGGTCAATTCTGTTTTGCCCATGGCCATGGTTGGTGGGTGATCCCTCCCGTTCTTATCTCAACCCTCAAGTCTTTTGTCTTATTTTCTCCTCTCTATCCAAAGAATGAAGGCTGTACAGCTCTAATAAAAATGCACTGTTAGTCACACCCTGGAAAATGGTTACCATACCTGATGTGCAATTCACTGCGACACTACGGTTTCCGTTCAGGCTAGCAGGAGCAAGAAACACAAAGAAGAGGCAGAGTTGGGGGCTTTATGACATGTAAGCCCAGAAACACAGCAATTTCCAGATACCTGAAGTGGTCTTTACTCTAAGTGCTTTCTATGAAAGGGTCTGCAAATGAAATATTTACAGGGGAATGGGTCTCTTCAGAAGAGAAACTGAGGCCTCAGATGCAGAGGGTTTTTTCTTTCTTTTTACACAAATGTAGCTGCTTGTGAGTACAGCTATTGCTAACGCAACTATGCATGCTTTTCCACACAGCAAAGCCAATCTGCAAAACTTTTAAGGATGTATCAGAGCATCATTGTTAAGGACGACCTTAAATATAAATACATTTGCTACTAATGGCAAGGTGTTATTTCTGAACCATTAAGCTTGGGATCTTAACCTATACTTATAAGCTTTCTGAAGAATAGACACCTAAATGTTTTTACTTACGATATTTATGAAAATAAATGACCCAGAACTAACATTTTTATTGAGAAAAAAGTTACGTAACTTAACTCTTGATGAACTACCTCGACCTAGAATTATCATTCCTAAAAGGGGGAGCAGCAACAAACTTTAATTCTGCTCATAAATGAAGATAAGAATTGTATTATTGATAAAAATACCATGTCTTCTAAAAACTGTGTTTAAATAAGAAAAAGGCTGAATGAATGTTCAAGTACTCATTTTTTTAAGGTGTCAGTACTTCTCTTCAGAATTGATAGTTTGAGAATTCATTTGTTGCAAACTTAACCTTAGTATATTCCACATAGTAGATATTTACTTTGTTACACAGGTAATCAGGCATCTTAACATTTAATTAATCTACCAGCCAAAAAGGGGTAGCTTTCAAGAGTAGATTGAATAGTTATCTCTTATAAAAACTAGGTCAAGTCTGCAAACTCTTAGAGAGGCAATATTTTCACCATATCTCCTGCCCCAGGATATCTTTTCTTTTTTTGAACAATACAAGAGAATATGTAAAAATTTGGCTACTGTTAACAGTCACAAAGCTATGTAATTAAGATTGTTCGCATACTGGCATTCAAACACTTTGCTTCAAAATACAGCATCTACACCCACACAATTTGGTATGTCGGGTGACGCATGCTGAAATTTTAATACTCAGAAATTTTAATGTCTCCTACCACCCCCCAGCTATAGGAAATCTGTGTTTCAAAAATCCTGTGCAAAAATATCAACTCTACAAGTTCTATTTGTCCATTTACAGTTTAAAACTCTGTAACAGTAAGACGTTTATAAGTTAAATGTCACCCCAGCCAAGAGGTAGAAGGAATTAAAACCAAACTATAATGTTTTAAAGAAGAAACCTTCATAAATCAAGCATTTAAGACACTGTCATCCTCTTACTTCTACACAACCAAACACTCTGTTAGAATAGATCTTTGCTCAAAAGCTGGCAGTCTAAACATCCAAAGTAGCTACAGGTAGAATAAGAGAAAGGGTGGTGACAGTATTACAGAAGATTATGAAAACAAGTGGCATCAAATGAAGTTCGAAAGTGACACAGTCATAAGTTCTCAGAAGTATGAGACTTTTAACTGGGTAGACATTACCTTCCTATTTTAATTGTTAATGTTCTACATATGTATGAACAGAATGCATAATGTGGCTGATCAGATAAGAAAAAGATGGTGTTTTCTAAAGAAAGAACAAAAATAAATAATACTTATGAGAACAAAGAGGAAGAGTACTGCTAAGTGCACATTTCAAAACTGCAGTGAAGATGCTGGTGCAACTTCACCAGTAGTAAATAGAGGTGGAGGGAAATAGCTAGAAATTAAACCTGAAAAAATAAATTACTTCCAGGAGTTGGTAACTGTGGCAACTTGACATTCAGGATGACTCTATCCTGAAAAGCATTGTTTTCCTACTTATATGGGCAGAGCACATATATTATAGGACAGGACAAGGAACAGTCCTAATTACATTGCAACTCCACCTGAACACAAAACAAATCTAGAAACACAGTGCTTCTTGGTTCACTCAGAGAATTCAGTGCCAGAAATATCTTAAACATTTTTTCCAACTCACACTACTTGCACAAATCACTACTTTGGTATTTCAATACACGAAGTTTACTAAGAACACCTTTAGGGTTAACGGCTCTTCCTCAGAAAAATACATTTAACTTCAATTTTTACCTTCACCTTGTGAAACATGACGGAATTAGAAGTTATTACTGAAGAACACTTTATAATTGCTAGTCAGACTCCCAACTGCACCACTGCGGGGCAGGCATATTTGATTTCTTTAGCGTAGTTTGTGTTATTTACTAAGTCTGTAAAAAACACTAGATCATGAAAAAGCATATAGTAAGAAAGCAACAAAGAATAACAACAGAGATATGAGCTTACCATCTGTTAGGAAGTATGCATCTTGAACTACACTACACTACCTTTCAAGATCTTACCTTCTTTTTGTCCCTCATTGAGCCCTTCCCTCGGACCATTATCTTGCATCCTGTTTCTGCCTCAAGCTGCTTAGCTGTTAGTCCTCTGGGCCCAAGGATTCTTCCAACAAAGTTAAACTGGAGGAAAAAAAGAAATATTATTTCTATAAAAGCAAGTAAACAAAAGTAATTTAAAATTTAACAAGATGTACGTATTTCTGCCTCTAAAATATCTTTAAGTGTTTATCAGTTTAGAACACTACAGTAAATATCTGAGGTTACAGAACGAGGCACATACTATTTTCATATATTAGATGCATATGTGACCCCTACTTTGGGAGATACAAGTTTCAGGCGAAACCAGGTTTTTAAGTTTAACATCTGGTAGTCTAGGGCAGTGGTAGTCCTCATTTCCTCCTCATTAAATGGTATGAGCTCTTATAGAAACTATAAACCACCCTCCCTCACCACCAACATGACCGGACACGCTCATTAATAGGCCAACAACGCACATCACATCCTCGAAACACACAGGTTCAGGGTGCATGACCACACATGCAGACAACTTCAATGTGATGGGACTGATGGGGTGCCAGGTGTAGGTCCAATACTACGATGGCACAGGGCCTTCAGGAACAGCCCCATGGCCACTATTCCTTTGCTCCCTGCCTGCAGCTAAGGAGCCTGCAGAAAACACTTTTTCACCCTTCTGTGCTGTTCTGGTGGGCTCGATCCAGACAGCACACCACTGGCTGGCCACCCACACCTAAAGAAACTCTTCTTTATCTACCTGTGCCATAGCACTTCCTTCAGGAAAAAAAAGCCTCAGGCTTGTTACATATCCACTTCGGGTTTCACGGGCAATATTTGTGGAAAACATTGTATTTCTCATATATATGTGTATAAAATGTGTGCGTATACATATACACGTGTACATACAGACACATGATAAAAGCACATGTCATTTCAAGTTGTATCTTTTACTCAGCTGTGCATACAAATAGAGCAACTATTTCAAGTTTAGTTGGCTAACTTCAATATCAGCAGACAACCCCCTGCCGATGCTTAACACAGTAATACCGCCATTTAGCCACACATAACATTACTTCTTAGTTATTTTCCAGAGTCTTTCCTCTTTCATTATTTTCAATCACACATTCTGAAAATTATGACATAAATAAAAAAAGCACAAAGTGAAGGTAGCATTAAAAACATACAGCAGTGCTCTATGACAACTACAGTGCAAAGACGAAGCACCAGGCTCAAAGGATACATAAACCTGGAAATTTCAGACTGGAGATTAAATTCAAAGAAGATATTAAGAGAAAAGAAATTTTGCAGTAAGGACAGAAGTCTGGATGTTTTTGATCCTGATAAACAAAGCTATTCAACGGAATTATGAAGAAGCTGTTGGCTTTCATTTCCTCAGTTAATTAAAATTGGTTTTGAGTACTACAACTCAACATATTTGAAATCCTTATACAACTGCAAAGACCAGAAATGATTTAAGAGTGAGCAGAAATTTTAACACACAAGCAGCAAATTAAAGTTCTTCAACAAAAATAATTAAGTTTCACAATGGCTAAACTGTTCATAGGGAAGATACATTCCCAAAATTATTTAGTATTCCAAGCTCAAAAACAAAGACATATTATGAAGTCTGAATCAACTTTCAGGGGGGAAAAAAAGTAAAAGATTAAAGGCACTTGTGAATGCATACACAAACTGTGAATCACAGGAAATTAGGAAGATTCACTAAGACCAGATAAAGCAATGGACTAGCTACAGGTGATCAAGTCCAGCCTTTAAATATTAACAAAATCCTGCATGTTACACATTTCATGCTTAATAACAAAATCATACCACTCTTACATAAACAGCATCTTACTTGCCTTTTTCCACAACCACGCTTCCTGCATACTAAATCTTTAGATATCTATCCCCTTCCACTAAAAAAGCCAAAATAAAACCACTCTTCTGACCAACACAGAAGGTGACTACCATTGCATTATCTCTGAAGAAAAACAGCAGCCTCTTATATTTTGTTAACTTGGATCATGATTAAAAGAATAATCAAGTTCTAACATAAGATAATTTGGATTACAAACATTAAACAGAAAAATTTATGATACTAAGAAAAAAAGCAGGAATTTGTATTACTCACAAGCTTGTAACTTTATATTCATGTTGCCTGAACACTATTTAGAATTGTGGCTTCTAGTTGAGAAATTGCTGACTTACACTGCAACACATTCTATTAAATTCAAGGCCAGGCTGGATGAGGCTGCAGTGGAGGGTTTCCCTGCCCATGTCAGGGGGGTTGGAACTAGATGATCTTTGAGGTCCCTTCCAATACAAACCATTCTATGATTGTATGAAATGTTGAGCCAGTTTCTTTTCCAGTTACTCCCAGAACATTCACCTTATAAAGAGACTTCATAAATTGTTCCAAGGTATCTTCAACCCTCTGTCTTTTCTTTCCAAACTCTACGCATTAGCACTATGAACCTTTTTGGATTATTATTATTTGGAGTATTTCCCTATAATTTCTTACAGCTTTTCTCACTCTGCACTTGTCTAACCCACTAAGAATCACCTCACCTCCAAGTGAACTGCTAGAAAACAAACAGCAATGGCTCACAAATCAGTTTGACCAACTTAAGACTGCATTACTTTGAAACTATCTAACCTCACGCATGTCGAAATTAGAGAATGTTAAAAATTAAGCAGAAGCAATCCATACTAATATTAACTGCTTCTACATCAACATTACAGAAAAAGCAATCTAACATTTCATTCTCCTTCAAGTTAGTCTCTCCTTCCCCAACAATTAATGTATCTCTGTACTCAAATATTTTCATACATCAGACATTTACACTTGCAGTATTTCACAATTATTTTCCTGTTTTTTCTGAAGAGCTGAAGTAAGTTTTGGTTTTGCGTTCTCAAATCTTCCTGTACAAACTCAAAATACAACATCCAGAAGAACATGCTGGTGACATGCATAGACACAAAAGCATCCTACGCATCACCTAGAATCCTTTACGTTTTAGGAACGATGGAGGGAACTAAGAAGTATATAACACTAACAACATTCATAAAAAGCCAAGAGTTAGAGCATCTATTGAAGCTCAGGCGGTGAAATTTTTTTTTAAGTTCCAACCAGTTACACCATGTTGCTCTCCCCCTCCATCTGTTTCTCTGCGTTGTCACCCCTAATCCCTTAGTTTGATAACCTCATAAACTTGAAGTTTCCAGCACATACAAAATACACACCAGCAAGATGCTGTAGTAAGATGTTTGTTGCCTTTCTTTGAGAACATGCCCAAAATACACACTCTTAAGAAAAGAGACAAACAGCAAGTGTTGGCAGACTCTGTACATGAGGATCTTCGTTACTGAAGGTGTTTAAGCAGAAACAAACATATTAGGAAAAAAGCTGCTCTGAGTCCTAACGTTTGCACCTACTTTGGGATATTAATAATGACTCTGCAGCAGATGACATTCCTAAGAGCTGACAAAATTTCTATCTGGTGTCCTACCTAACAAGTCCACTGTGTCAGAAATTCCCTGATAAAAGCAGCTTGTACTCTCTATGCATAGAACAACTATTTCCAAGCAGACCAGGTGCTTTTACAGTCGTATGCCTGGCCAGCCCTTACACCCGGAACAAAAGTAGTAAAGGAAAACAAGAACAAACTATGCTAAAGACTCAAAACTTCTGATTAGTAAGAGGTTGCAAAGAAGTGTGTATGATTTTTACAGTGTATGGGAAATGCAGTGTTTAAGAAACTTCCTATGCAAGTAAAAATCTGAGGAACTTGAGGGAGTCCAGTAGTACTATATTTCACATTATTGTGCCTTTTGTATTTTGTGTTTTCCTTTGAAATCTGAAAGTCAGATATGACAAGATCTAATTTATCTGATGAGAAAAAAAAAGTCCACTCCTGATGATGTTACTTAATTCTTAACTACTTGGAGAAATCAGCTTCAGTATAGTTATGTCATACATGAAAACATGTTCTCCATATTGAGTCTACCTTTACATATCATGATTTTTTTTTAAAAAAGGGACAAAAACTTCAGACAACTTCTACATCAGTTAGAAATCAGCTTAGCTCTTCCCTTATTTGTATTTCTTTCCAATGACAGTATTTTATTTTACAGCTCAGTTAAATATTAGACATAACTCTGCCAGCTGTAAGAGGATTTTCATGAAGACAGAAAACTCTACCTTACATTCACCCCTCCCATACCCAAATGAGCTTTCAGATTGTATACTAATACATTAAACAAAGTAAAGCATCCCAAAAATGTGGTTCAAAATGCCCTGGTGTTGTAGTTTGGTTTTTAAAGACATGGAGAGCAGCACTTTCTGCTCACTTTATTTTCATAGGTTTTTTCCCACCAACTAGAAAGCAGCTGAAGACCAAGACTCTGCATGGTTCAGTGGTTAAAACGTGAAGGTTAAGAAGCAGCTGAAAACTGGAAGTTATAATGGAGAACAGCTGGCAATTTCATCTTAAGCAGCAACACTGACAGTCAGTTTAGCTACTTTGGAGGGAACTTTCTATGTCTTGAGATCATAATAGTCCTATTCCAAGACCACTTGGGAGATAACTTAATCTGACAGAGTTACAGGCTAAAGTGCTAACTCTGGAAAAGAAGTAACAAAGAGACACAAAGGAACTGCAGCAAGAAAAGAATGGCATTAAAAGAAAGCACGATGAATGCGTATGACACTCCTGATGTTGTTTGCTAAATGTTGAGTACTCTTTACGAGCAAAATTAACATTACTCCTGAGTATTAATAAGTTTCTTAAAGTTATAATTTGAGTACTTATTTTCATGCATGGTTTTTGATGAAGAAAAGCAGTTAATGTATTTAATTGAAATATTTTTATGCCAACTTAAATTGAAAATGCTACCATAGAAGATAAAAAAAAATTGCACTATGCTGACAAAAACATGCCATAAACACTCAGAAGATGAGGCCTTTAACTGACCTACCAAAACTAGCAGATTTTGGGTGTTCTGAAATAATAAACATTTTATTTTTAAAGGAACATTAATACAGTTTTTTTTTCCATAAAATACTCCTGCATTTATTAGAAATAGCTTGAATTGCTTTAAGCTGAGTTTTAGATAATCATAAAAAATATCATATATTAAAAAAAAATTTAAAAAAATATCAGATATATGGCCGATCAGATTTTTTGCAAGCTTGTAACTCAAATCAAGAATAAAATCACTTGAGGTACTGGAAAACAAAACACAGCATATTAAGCCTTAGGGAAGTAAGATTGCATACTTTCAGTATTTAATATTTAATAAATATTAAATAAGTATTTAATAAACAAAACAAATCTTGTAGCATAATATTATAGATAGGTAGCTTTGAGATTACCTTCTCAGAAATTTCATCTGAAACATTTTGTAAGAGAACAGAAATAACTTAAATGGGCAACTTACCCTACCTTACACTGAACATGCTTTCTAGCAGTAACATTTTCAAATATTTATTCAATTATTGTATCATGACCAAATACCCATTTTCAGAATACCTTTGGCAAAGTTGGCTTTTTTTTTTTTTTACAAGAACAACTGTAGTAATTGTGTATATAAATACACAACACACACAGATATGGGCAATGGATTTAAACTGAAAGAGGGCAGATTTCGATTAGATATAAGGAAGAAATTTTTTACATTGACGGTGGTGAGGCAGCGGAACAGGTTGCCCAGAAAAGTTGTGGATGCCCCATCCCTGGAAGTGTTCAAGGCCAGGTTGGATGAGGCTTTGGGCAACCTGGTGCAGTGGAGGATTTCTCTGCCCATGGCAGGGGGGTTGGAACCAGATGATCTTTAAGGTCCCTTCCAACCCTAACCATTCTATGATTCTATATATTTTAAGAGAATTAACAAGTACACGTAAATTTTTTTTTTCTTGACTCAAAATGATTATGAATAAATTTGCCACCAACAGTAAGATAATACTAGGAATTGATCAGAGACATAGCCTTTCAGCTGACATTTACAGCCCCCTCCATTTTTTCAGTCCAAATATTTTATTGAAACACTTCGGA